TGATGGAGATACATAAATTGATTATTAGTATGATAATAAACAAAGAAGAGTGTCTGGAAAGAAGTCATTTCCTTCTAATAGGAAGAGAATGATCAACATGTCCAACAACATGTTACAACACCCTGGAAGACATGATGAAACTTTATCAAGATTTCAATCATCCACTTGGATATGTCATTATTATGGCGAGCATGGTCATATTAAGCTTTTCTGTTGTAAACTGTATGGAGATATAAAATCTTCAGTTCATTCTAAGGCTGATTAAGTGAGCATAAATAGAAGTGCTGAAAATAGGGATATTAACTTTATTGCTCATACTTCCTTAAGAGACTTAAATGGAAAAGACTTGTACTTTGACAGTGGATGCTCTAGATATATGACAGGGGTTCATAAGTTATTGGCAAATATTAGGCCTCATCCCACATGTTATGTAAGATTTGGTGATAGGTTTAAAGGTGAAATCAAAGGAGTTGGAAAGTTGATATATGTTGGTTCTCCTAGTTTGGAAGATGTTCTTTATGTGAAAGGATTAACTGCTAATGTCATTAGCATTAGTCAATTGTGTGACCAAGGTCTGCTAGTCTATATCTCAATGTCAGAATGTCCGGTCAAAGATGAAATGGATGCTATCCTAATGAAGGTAATTAGATCTAAAGACAACTGTTATCTATGGGAATCTAAAATAACGACTTATTCTTCCAAATGCCTAATAACTCATGAAGAAGAAGTAAAGTTGTGGCACCAAAAGCTTGGACACCTTAATATAAAAGGTATGATGGATATTTTATCTGAATGAGCTATCAAGGGAATGCCAGAACTAAATATTGGAGAAGGTAAAGTTTGTTGTTAGTGTGAAATTAGAAAGCAAACCATGATGTCACACCCGATGTTGCAACATCAGACTACTTCCAAAGTGTTAGAACTTCTTCATATGGATATAATGTGACCTATGAAGATAGATAGCATGAGAGGAAAAAGGTATGCCTATGTGGTTGTTTATGACTTTTCTGGGTTACTTGGATGAATTTTCTTAGAGAAAAATCATATGCTTTTGAAGTATTCAAAAATCTAAGTCAAAACATTCAAGAGGAGAAGAATAATGTGATTGTCAAGATCAGAAGTAAACATGAGAATGCAAAATTCTCTGAATTTTGTATTTTTGAAGGAATTAGTCATGAGTTCTCTTATTCCATCACTTCTATGCAAAATGGATTTTTTGAGAAAAAGACTAGAGTCATACAAGAATCAAATAGAGTTATGCTTTCTGCTAAGCAATTACCATTGAAGTTTTGGGCTGAAGCTATGAATATTTCTTGCTACATTTATAATAGGCTATAAATATTTCTTGCTACATTTATAATAGGGTCATATTGAGAGGAATACTCTTTATGAGATATGGTAAGGAAGAAAGCCTACAGTCAAGTATTTTCATAATTTTGGAAGTAAATGTTATGTCTTGATGAACAAAGATAAAAAAGGTAAGGAGAATATCATAAGGAATGAAGGGATATTTCAGGGTTACTCTTCAAGCAGAAGAGTTTATAGAGTGTTTAACTCCAGAACTAAAGATGTTATGAAATCAACAAGTGTGATACTTGATGATTCATCCAATGAAATGGAGAAGGATGTCAAAGACAATGTGGAGACATCTTCTGTGCAGTTTGAGGAGACATGAAAAAAGTAATTTGTGAGTTCACAAGTGTTGATCCAGAAGTTAGAGTTCACATAGAACAACTCAAGGAGATCAATACAATATACTCTAATGAAGCAGACATTACAAAATTCAATATAGAAGTATCAAATTTATGTCTTGTTTATAAGCTTAAACCAAGGATGTGTTCTACTTTTCAAGAAAGAAGAATCTTGAACTGCATCATTGGGTCAAAGTGGGCCAGTAGGTATTTATATCTAAGAAATAGTATGATTTCCTCTAAAAATACCACTATTTATGAGTATGGTGTACTAGGAGATGTTGTTCTAAATTGGTATAGATTGACCAGATGTTGAAGGATCGTAATTGTCAAACATGATGTCATGCATTATTTGGTGAAGATCTGAATGATATAAGATATCTCATTCAACATAGTTGGAACAAGAACCTTGATAGTAATAATCAACTTATCAAGAATCTTGCCTAAGGAAATGTTATTACTCTGGAGCATATGGATAACAAGGAACAACTTGCCGTTATGCTTAAAAATCAGATTGAGAACATAAGTAGTGGGATTGGAACTTGCACTATTGAAGAGTTATAGCAATTAAAAATATGAAGGAGTGAAACTGATATTGCATCTTTCCTCTATATTCTAATTCTTAGAAAGCCTAAGCAAGTTGCTATTAGACGGGGCAAAGGTTTTCTGCAAGACATAAGGGCAGGTGACAACACCAAGGAGTGCATGAGGATTTTTGATAGGGGCAAGAGGTGAAGGACTACCTGAAGTTGTTGAAGTGTGTGTGTTTCCATCTGCTATTGTGTGTTTATTACTTATATGCATTGTGTTCTTCCATTTTGCTTACATTCTCTATTTTTGTCAATTTTTGGCTAAAAAAGGGGATTAAAGTGTTAATATATTTTACGTGTCCTAATGTTATAAAACATGTCTTGACATGTTGAGTAGCATGCGGATAGGATTGTGCTACTACAAAGAGAAGAGTAGTAATTATGGTTTCTTGTTGGATGCAACTATTTAGGGGGAGCAGGATTATCTATCACGCTTGATTGGAGCTTATGCTGCTACTGTTGATATGTGTAGCATGTCTTACCAGATGATCTAACATCTTGCCTGGTGAAGATGTGTGAAAATACTGATGTGAGGTTGTTTTATCTTCTGTTGTTGTTGCCTCTGGTGTGTGAACTTGGGTAGTTCAGTTTTGGTATTTTGGATTTTCTGGTGATTTGGCTTGTCCCTATGTGGGGGAGTCTTAATCATGTGTGACAGGGGGAGTTTGGACATGTATGTGATGTCAGACCTCATGTCTGAACACCTGTCTTCTGGAAGTGTTGAAGATGGTGATCTGTAACTGCATGTATTCTCTGATGTGTTTTCTGATGCAGTTTGTACAAAGTTTACATGTTTGCATGTATCTTGTGTTGTGGTTTTATTCCTGTCTTCAGGGTTATTGTGCTTTGGTTGTTTTAGCCGAAATTTACTAAAGGGAAAGATTGTTAAATCCATGATTTTAGTTTTGTCTTGAATTTTGTTAAAATATGGTTTTGGGCTGATGTTAAGCAAGATGTCACAACATCTTGACCAAATTTCATGACAAGTTTTGTTGTCATGTGTATAAGATTGATGTTGAGTCAGATGTCCTGATATCTTGGTATGTTATGCAGCAGACGCTGTTGTTTTATTTCCTTAAGGATTTGATTGAAAAATATGAGATTCTGGAATATTTTAGTACTCATACAAGTGTAGAAAATCAAAGATATTTTAGGAACAAGTGCCAATTTGATTTGTTTCATTAAAAAGGATCTTGGAAACTTTTTAGGAAACTTTAAAAGATTTGTTCCTATTTTTATGTGAAGATCTTGAAGCTGATTTAAAAAGTGAAGATTGAATTTGATTTGAAGAGTCGAAGCCCATTCTGCAAGAGTCTATAAATAATGACTAGCCATGACTTAAAATAGCAAACATTCACATTGAAGAAACTGTGGGTACAACATAAGGATTAAGGTTTTGGGAGTTTTTTAAGTTCTTTGTGTTTGTGTTCTTTGTACGTATGTCATTTATGTATCTTTTGATGCCTTGAATTTGACTGATTGTTACTTGCAAGTATTGTTCTCACTCATGAGTTTTTAAGTAAATAGTTAAGTATTGTTCTTGATTGAAGAGTTTAAATAAAACTAAGTATTGTTTATTTGAAGTGTAATCTTCTGTTGGATTTTTAAGTCTAGTCACAAGGTTTGTGGCTGTAGGTATCACTGAGGTAATTGGAAGTGAGAGGGAGTTCTCATATCTAGGAGGTTCATATGTAGAAGTTGCACAAGGTAGTAATTAAGAGAGAAGTTATAAATTGAGACTGTTTAGGCTTCAAACTAATATTATCATAGTGGATTTCCTTCCTAGCTTGGTAGCTCTAGAGTAGTTAACGTTGCACCGAACTGGGTTAACAATTGATTGTGTTGTTTAATTTTTTGCAATTTATCTTTTTGCATAATCTGTGATTTTCTGTCAACATATGTCATAACATCTTCCCAGACATCGTGTTTCTGTGTTAAGACATTAGTCTTGACATTTGTATTGCAAGTCCCAGAATTTCAAATATAGCCAATCAAAACCACCTTTAAGAAGAAAAAAGAAGGATTTTTCTAGTTTTAACTTTGAGTATGTTTGGATTGGTCAAATGTTATGAAATGAAATGAAATGGAATGGAGTAGTATTTCTTTAGATAATATGCATATAATGAATGAAGCAGAATGGAATGTGATGAAATCCATTTTTTCATATTCCATCAAATTATTTTATTTTCATTCCACTCAATTTAGAGCGTAGTCAATGAAGTGAACTAATTTGTTCTATTTCCTTCCGTCAAACTGTAAAAAGATACACAAACAATAGAATGAAATTCCGATCGCATTCTCATATACTCCACTGATCTACTATATTTCATCATATTTCATTCCGCTCCACTTCCTCCTAAGCCATCAATCCAAAGATACCCTAAATGTTAAATTAAACCAAATTATAATAATAAACATTAAAAAGAGGTGATGACAATTGACAGGTAAGAGATTATAGACAGGTGTGTATAATATTAAAAATAATTGAAAGGGCTGTTCTTATGTAACTCTCAGTCACTGCAGTCCATGTGCCAGTTTGGAAATACATATTTATTTCCTTTCTTAAATCCCATTATCAATGCTTCCAATACCACTCTGGCAGACCTTTCATACAGCTTGTCACTAAGATCTCTTCTCTTCTCTCACTTAAATTCATCTTAATTTCCCTCTCACTCCATCATTTTCATCTTCTCACTTTCTTTTTTTCTCATCAAGAACAATGCAAGACTCAATTGGAATTCCTGCATGTTTTTCTTCAACAAGTCATGACGATCATCAATATCATCAAGGAGCTGTGACACGTTCAGGTAGAAGCGTTTACATGTCAGTATACAGAACAAAGTTAGCTGATCAATGCCGTTTGATCACAATCACATGGTGCAAAAACCTGATGCTTCATGGTTTATCAGTATCAGTGGAAAACCCCGAAAAGGAAACTCAATATAGCTGCAAGGTTGAGCTAAAACCATGGTACTTTTGGAGGAAACAAGGTTCGAAACGGTTCGCAGTAGATGGAAAAGAAGTTGATGTTTTCTGGGACCTTAAATCTGCAAAATTCAACGGTGAAACCGAACCAACTTCAGAATACTACGTAGCAGTTGTTTGTGATGAAGAAGTTGTGTTGCTTGTTGGTGATTTAAAGAAAGAAGCTTATAAGAAAACCGGGTGTAGACCATCACTCATTGACCCGATTCTTGTTTCGAAAAAGGAACATATATTTGGAAAGAGAAAATTCTCAACTAAAGCTAAGTTTCATGAGAAAGATAGGTGTCATGAGATTTGTATAAAGTGTAAGAACAAAGGTAATATGAACGTTGTTGGAGATGAAGATAAAGTTAAAGTTGAACCAGAGATGGAGATAAGATTTGACGGGGAGTTGATGATTCATGTGAAGCATTTGCAATGGAAATTCAGAGGGAATGAATCGGTTTATCTAAACAAAACAAGAGTTGAGGTATATTGGGATGTTCATGATTGGTTATTTAGTCCTGGTTTAAAACATGCTTTGTTTATTTTTAAGCCTGTTTTTTCATGTAATTCTTTGTCACCAAGGTCTTTGTTTTCTCCATCTTTGTCTTGCTCATCTTCTTCCACTACTCCATTATCAAACCAGAGAAGTAGCAATAGTACTTGTGAGTCATTGGAGGGTCATAGTGGCAGTGATTCATCATCATCAGAGTTTTGTTTGTTTCTATATGCTTGGAAGGTTGAATGAACGTGATGGACGGAAGTGATTGAGTTACAGACCACGTGGCCAACAATAATTCTTTCTCCAGAGGCATCTATGTCAACATCCGTTATCTACTCTTTTGAAAAATAGTACTAGTTTTTCTTGATCTAGTATTGAAAAATGAAAACAAAGTTATTTGTAATGTAATTATAGAATATTATAATCTTATAATGTTGTATACTATAGTACACGTATGATTTTGTAAGAGAAATAATATCGACACTGTTAGATTAGTGGATGTCTGTATTTGGTCATATGAATAAAGTTGATGCATGTGAATTAAAGGTGGTGTCTTGGGAAGTGAGGGCAAGTGTTTGGTGATGATGTTGAAACTAGTTAGGATCACGAGAGATAAAATACAAAAGTTTGGGATATTACATAATACAAAATAAGGAAGGTTGGTTCATAATTTGGACTTAGGAACACTACTAATAGTTTGCATTTTAAAATGAAATAGTTTTGTCTATATGCACCTTAAAATACCTATTAAATTATGGTTTGAGATATTTCCTAATAAATTCGGTTGTTAATTGTAATCCACTTTTGAATTTGGATGAGTTTAAGTTTTTCTTTTTGAAAAGGTGGAATTTCCTTAAAGAGGTTTTAGGGATCATGTTTGATCAATTTTATTGTTTTGCATTTCTACTTTGTAATTTTACAATTTTATTTTGTGACCTGGATTCTCAAAGTTAAATCACTCTCTCATTTAAGTGACTTTAGATCGATTTTATTGGAGGAATCTTTATATAATTTGGTGGCTAAAGTGTTGGTCACTAGACTTGGATCGATAATGCATAAACTTATTTCTCCTGATTAATTGGCTTTTTAAAAAGGGAGAATGTTGGTTGATGGAGCGGTGGTTGTCAATGAAGTTATATAGATTTGACAAAGAGATCTAAGAAAGTTTGTCTTATTTTTAAGGTGGATTTTGAAAAAATGTATGATTCAGTCGGTTGGAGCTTTCTAGATTATATGCTTATTAGATTTTATTTTAATGAGAAGTGGAGGGCCTATATGAGAGCTTGTGTGTTCACTAGTAATCCTGCGTTGTTTGTTAACGGATGTCCAACTCAAGAGATTAGCATCCAAAGAAGTTTGAACCAGGAGATCTACTAGTTTATTTTCTTTTCCTACTTATGGTTAAAGAGCTAAGTGGCTTATTGCTAGGGCTAAGGAGATCAGTCATTACTTAGGGTTTAGAATGAGAGCATCCAGTTTGGTGGTATCACATCTTCAGTACACTTCCAGTGAAGGATCTTACTCTTTCAAATCTGTGGAGTAATAAGGTGATCCTTAAAGGTTTTGAGTTGCCGCCAGGGGCTAATCGTGGCCTTGAATCCACTTGGGATCTATTAATTAATTTGTTGATAACGAGTCTCCATTCTTGAAAGCAAAAATATGTTAGTTTGGATGGTCGAGTGGTTCTTCTTAATTTTGTGTTAAATGATATTTGCATTTTTTTGTCCTTTTTGAAGATGTTTGGAAAGGTTTGGGAGAAGCTTGTTATATTATAGATAAAGATTCTTTGGGGAAGGCTGAAAGGGGAAGTGAATATTTCCTAAATTAAACGGAATAATGTTTGTAAGCCTGAGAGTAAATTGGGGGTTAATGGTTAGGGATCTTTGACTAGTCAATCTATCCCTTTTGGTTAAACAGATATGAAGGTTATTTACAAGTGCTTCAGATCTTTGATGTGGTATTCTTTTAGCTAGATATGGTGCTTCTTTTGTTTCCTCTTTCCGGGTGATGGACATCGGGGTTCATATATATATATCCACATGGTAGAAATATGTATCTCTCCTTAGGTCCAAAGAATATTGTTGTACCCCAAAATTTTCCCTTGTATTTTTCCACAAGAAATCACAGCCTCGAGCGTTCCCTGATTTTTGAGACTGGTTCAAGAATCGGTCAAACAGACTTTTCTCGTCAGTCAGACAAAATTAGGGTTTTCATGGCTCTGGAACAGTTCACACAGTTTGTTTAGGGTTTGGTTGGTTTTGGCTCATGTTTTGATCAGGCGGACGCTTCTTTGACTTTTAATCAAGAATTAGGGTTTTTGTGCGCGCAGAAAGAATTAAGTCTACAGTGCTTTTCACTCTGGAATATGGACTGAGGTTTCTGACGGGGAGCTTGCAGTGTTTGATTGAATCATTAAGAGAAAAGACATTTGGGCAGTTGTTGTGATTGACTATGCATTGCTTTGGATTTTTGAAGCGCCAGGTTTATTAATTGATCAATGCTGAAACCACAATGTTTATTTAATTGTTTATTTATTCTAAGTTAAGATAATTGGAATTTATTTCCATTTATTATAATTTAAGAATTATAAATAATAAAATAAATAATTGAAAAGAAGAAAAGGAATTAACTGATAAAAAAATGGATTTTATTCATCTTTAATTATTCGTTACAATTGTTATTTGAATACAGTATTTATTTACGAAGTATTCATAATAATAATTTTACAATAATTCAAAGTAAAATAAAACTGTCCTAAATATTCCTAAGTCTTCATCTTCCATCCATTTCTACCTCTGCTTCGTTTGATTTTATCTGCAAAAAATAAGAAACAAAATAAAGTCAATTGCAGATAAAATAAATAAAAGGCGAACAGTTAATTTGGGTTCATCATTAAAGGCAACTGGCCGGAATCAGTTCGCCCTCTCTGCAAATCACGGGATTTCTCCCGGTTCACAAAGAGGGATGGAATGTCTTGCAATAAAGTTTGAAAATGCACAAAAAGTTACATACTGCATAATTCCAAAAGTTCTAAACCAAGGATAGAAAACAAACAGCATGCCTAACCAAAGTCCAAATTGGACAGCAAAATGTCAAATTCAAACTATCCAAGATATCCAAAAAAAAAACTGTCAAAGATATCCAACAAGTACCAAAGGCTACTCAAAGTTGTCAAAAGAAGATATGGAAATATATCAAGAAGACATAAAGTATGCAGAGAAAACATGTATTGCAAGCAAGCAATGTAAAATATCATCATTTTCCAGCAGTGCCTTTTCAGAACAAAGTACAAACATAAACATTATTTAATGCTTTAACTTGTACTGGAGAGAGAAAGAAAGAAAAGAAGTACAAGCTTACTGGCTTTAGGCATAAAGAAATATAAAACAAACTGCAATAAAACAGTAAAAAAGGGAGGCAGAAAATACATAACCAAGATAACATCAAACTTGAAAAACGATTCAAAGCCTTCACTTGTCCAAACCATGCATTCAACAAGCTCTAAACATACAAGCCTTAACCAGCAACTTAAAACAATCAAAATCTGAAACCTGCATTCAAGGTCTCAAGCCTGAACCTGTCAAACAATAAAAACATAAACAGATCCACACAAAGCCAAAACTGATATCCAGCCTGCCCAAAAGACCTTCAACCTGCATTCCAAGCCTTTAACAGCTTCAGCCTTAACCTGTTGCAGCAAAAACATAAAGCCCAACCCTGTCAAGCTTAAAACCAAAAATAGCATAAGCCGTCAAAGCTCCCAAAACACCAGAAAAACCTGAACTGTCCAGCTTCAAACCCAACCTGTAATAGCCTAAAACCTGTCAAACCTTGAACCAAAGCTCAAAACCATTCCATAAACCTGAAACCTGTAGGCTATCATCAAGCCTGAAGCCGGAAAGCCCAAAGGGCATCAACCTGTCAAAAAACTCTGAAGCCAACTGGTAAACACAAATTTATCCAACAAAATCCTCACCTGTTCTCAAGCACAAGCCTGAAGCTTACAGTAGAAGGCCTCAAACTGATAAAAACTCTGAAACATTCAAATAACCAACTGAAGCAATAGGAGCCCTCAGAGCATCCTCATCACTGGGCTAACAACAACATCATTAAAACTTTTCAAGGCAACAGGGCAAGCATACCAAATATCACGTATTTAAGGCAATACAGAGTAAGGCAACACAAGCCCTCAGAATTTTATTCATCACTGGGCAAAGAAAGCATACTCAGACAACACAAGCCCTCAGAGTTTCCTCATCATTGGGCTACCAACATCAACATCATTGAAAGCATATAATGGCAAACACACAAAAGCATACATAATCAAAGTGAGCATAGGCAGCTAGAAGAGGAAAGAAGTGACGAAAGATAGGTTTTCAAGTTTGTCATCATAAAACCTGAAAGAAGGCAAAAGTAAAGATACCAAGGTTTCCAAGCAAAGCGCGCCATCACCAAGCATCCGCCTTGGCCGCCTGAGCGCCTCCATCTTCATTCCTCCTCCATCTCCTCCAAAAGGTATAAAAAACACTCCCTTTTCCTTAAAGTACCTCACAAATCACAAAGAATCAGGACATGCAAAGAATAGAAATCATTAAAAATCGGAAAACCTAAAAGACTGTGAAAAAATGAACAAAGCCATTTACCTGTGTGAACATCGCCGAGTGACCAATGAAGGGAAGAGGAAGGATGTTGGCGCTCAGTGGCCTTGAGCGGAGAGGCATTCAGAGGCGGGTCCATGGCGAAGAAGATGAAGAAAGAAGCGAAGTGAACAGCGCCGTTCGTAACAAACAAGCCCTAATTCCAATAATGAAACAACAATTTGAACCCCTGGCATTTGTTTCAGACCGGTTGGGCCGGCTCTCTTAAGCCCAATGGCCTTTTTTGGCATACACCCCCCACGTTGCTACTTTGTTTGGGCCAGCATAAACCCTTAAAGCCCATTCAATCTCTAAACTATTCTTTTTTTTCTATATAACATATCTTATCTTTTTATTAATTAACATACTTTTTTTTTATCATTCAAAATTTCATTAACTCTTTGATTTTCTTTTTTTATATAATCATAATTTTGTTTATAAATAATACATTGATTTCCTTTTATATAAAAACTGTTTAATTGCTTTTTTTTAGTTAATTAAAAGTACATGAAATATTAATTTTCTTAAAAAACATTTTTCTTTTCCTTTTATACATAAAAAATACACTAATACATATAATTAAACTTAAAACCTTTTCTTTTCTTTTAT